GCCAGGGACATTATGGCTACCAGGAGAGGAAGAACCCGTGGACACCATGGTAACTGTTGGACCTTTCCAAATGAACCTTTTAGGCACGGATATTTTAAAGGGTAAACAGTGGTGTGATACCCAGGGAATTCGTGGTCCTTCGGTCCCCCCCAAATTAGACAACTGGCTAAAACTCCCAGTGCGGACGAGCATTTGCTACAAGCGGCGCCTGCCCTCCCCCCTTCTAAATCAAAGAATGTGAAACCCTAACCGCTGCCATTGGGAGCCAGGGCAGGCACAGCCCCTGTGCTGGCAGAGCGACAGAAACAAGGAGTGGTAGTTCCCACCCACTCGCTTACAATTCCCCGGTCTGGCCGGTTCGAAAACCTAATGGAAAGTGGCGGTTAACTGTCGATTAGTGCCGTTTGAATGCTAATACGGGACTATTAACCGCTGCTGTGCCCAACATTGCCGAGCTCATTAGCACCATTCAGGAGCACGAGCACCCCATTCTGGCAAGTACTGATGTTGAGGATATGTTCTTCGTGGCTCTCCTTCAACCCGAAGATCAGACCCGTTTTGCTTTCACCTGGGAGGGACAGCAGCGCACTTCCACGCGGCTTCCCCAGGGGTATGAGCACTCTCCCACGTTACCTCACCATGCCCTAGCACAGGAGTTAGAAGTGATCCCCATACAGGCGGGGGTGAAGATTTATCAGTATACAGACGATGTGCTTATGGGAGGGAGCCAGACAGAGGAAGTTGGGGAGGCGCAGCGGGACATTATTACCCGTTTAGAAAGCACAGGATTGACGGTTCCGCCCGAAACGATAGAAGCCCCTTCTAGTGAAATGAAATTTTTGGGACTGTGGTGGAGGGGAAAAATGACTTGTATCCCCCCCATGCTCTGTCCTCCCTCAACCTAATTAAATCAAAGAAAGATCTACAACGTACATTAGTACTACTCGTGTTCTGGAGAAAACATATCCCTGATTTTTTGATTATTGTTAGACCTTTGTATGATTTACTGTCGAAAAAGGCTCAATGGGAGTGGACCCAGCTCCACGATGAGGCGTTACGACTGTAGGTGTTTGAAGCAAATGCCTACCAAGCCCTGGGACCTATCCATCCGATGGACCCAGTCCAAATCGAATGGGGGTTTGCCCCGATCGAGCTCTCGATTAATTTGTGGCAAAAGGAGCAGAGGGGCCCCTTCGGCCCATCAGGTTCTATTCGTGTAGTTTCAAAGGTGCTGAAAAAAGGCATACAACTTGGGAAAAGGGCCTATTTGTAGTTAGTCTGGCTTTGAGAGAGGCCGAATGAACTATCTGACAGCAACCCATAATCCTTTGGGGCCCATTTAAAGTGACCAAAGCAGTTTTAACAGGAACCCCTCCCCCTGACAGGATGGCCCAAAGGCCCTCCATATGGAATAGAGCATTATTGTGAGATCTTTTCCATATCTGAAGGAGCTACTAAAGTGCTAAATACACAGCATGAGGCAGACCTAGATAAGGATGCACCCCAGCTTTCTCCTGTGATACAAATAGCTCCTCCATTTTCCAAACAGTTATAGAACGTATGGTTTATGGATGCTTTGTCGAAGTGAGAAGGAAAGATTTGGAAGTATCGAGCTGTGGCGCTTCAAATGGGGACTAAGGAACAAATCCTTACTGAAGGGGAGGGCAGCACACAGGTGGGAGAGCTAACTGCAGTGTGGAGTGTATTCCAGCATGAGGCCCAAGCTACTTCCGCTATATATATTTATACTGACTCCTACGCAGTATTCAAAGGCTGCACAGAGTGGCTACCATTCTGGGAACAAAATGAATAGGAGGTTAGTAGGATACCGATATGGCAGAAGGAAAAATGGGAAGACATTCTTGCAATTGCTAAATGTGGGAAATTTGCAGTGGCGTGGGTTGCATCCCACCAACAAAGTGAGACCCCAGTGAACTGATGGAATGCTGAAGTGGACGAACTAGCTCGACTAGCTCCTCTGCAGAGCACCCAAATAATAGAAAATTGGGACCATTTATTAGAACGGCTGTGTACAAAACAGAAACATTCAGGGATTAATGATTTATTTTGTGAGGCGCAAGCTTGGGGGTGGCCGGTTACCAGGGACGAATGCAAAACATGTATATCTTCTTGTGAACAATGTCGTGTCCATTTGGGCAGACACCCCCTAGAAAACAACCTCCTGCACTTAAGAGAAGGAAAGGGTTTGTGGGAGGCCTGGCAGGTTCATTACCTCAGTCTATTTTGAAAATTAGAGGGAAAATGTTACAAATTGGTGGGTGTCGAAATAGTATCTGGACTAGCACAAGCTAAAGCATGTGCCAAAGTGACATGGGAGAACACTGTGAAGGCCCTGAAAGAAAGGTTTTGGACCTTCCCTAAAGCGCAGTTGATTTCATCTGACAATGATTCACATTTCACAGCTAGAAAAGTTCAAGAATGGGTGGTCCAGGAGGGAATTTCATGGGCGTTCCACACCCCATACTACCTGCAAGCAAATGGGATCGTGGAAAGAACAAACGGTTTACTAAAGCGATTTCTGAAACCACACAAATCAGGATGGGCTGAGCGGGTGGGGGACGCAGTGACCAGTGTCAGTAACTGCTGGGGAACAAATGGATGCCCAAAGATTACAGCATTTTGCCCCCAAGCCCTGACAATTATGCCCACCTAGCATGGCCCTGGTCACCCTGACAACCCATCCCATTTCCCCGGGCAACCTGTCCTGGTTGAACTCCCCACTGTGGGAGCAGTACCATTGGTATTGGACGCCCCGCGGAACAAATACACTTGGAAGGCAAGAGACGCTTGTGGGAAGGTCCATAAGATTCACACTAAGTGGATTATTACTTCCTTCTGACCCGAGAAGCGAGTTTGCTTCTGTTCTTATTTTCCAGGAAGGAGCAGCCAAATATCTCTAAGGAGGGAAACTCTACAGCCTCCGTGGGGAACCTGAGCCAGTGCTCTATGACTTTCACAGTAAAACAGTGTTTCCTGTTGTTCACCCAGAACCTCCTGCCTTTCAGTTTGTGGCCATTGCTTCTGGTCGTGTTACTGGGCACCACAGAAAGAGCCTGGCTCTGTCCTCTTTGCACTTCAGCTATACATATACATAAATAAGACCCCTTTGAGCTTTCTCTTCTCCAGGTTGAACAGTCCCAGCCCTCTCAGCTTTCCACATAGGAGAGATCCTCCAGTCCCTTCATGGACCTTTGTTGGACTCTCTCAAGTATGTCCATATCTCTCTTGTACTGAGGAGCCCAGAACTGTAAGGCTTTTGATATTGTCCCTCACAGCATCCCTCTGGACAAGTTGTCCACCTGTGGGGTGAGTGGGTTCACAGTGTGCTGGGTGAAGAACTGGCCCTTCAGAAAGCGATCTGGGGGTGCTGGTTGACAGCAGGCCTCATAAGAGTCAGCAGTGTGCCCTGGGAGCCCAGCAGGCAAACTGCATCATGGGGGTGCATCAGACACGGCATAACCAGCTGGTCGAAAGAGGTCATTATTCCACTGTATTCAGTGCTCATGCAGCCTCACCTGGAGTACTGTGTCAGTTCTGGACCCTACAATTTAAAAAGGATGTGAATGTCCTTGAAAGTGTCTGGGGGAGGACAACAAAGTTGGTGAAAGAGCTGGAAAACCTGTGCTATGAGGAGTGTCTAAGGACTTTGAGTTTGTCTAGTTTGAAGAAAAATTGCACTCGACAGCTTCCTGAGAAGGGGAAGTGGAGAGGGAGGTGCCGATCTCTTCTCCCTGGTGTCTAGTGCTGGGGCATGCAGGAATGATTCAGAACTGTGTGAGCAGAGGTTAAGACTGGACGTTATGAAGCATTTATTGGTCAAACACTGAAACAGACTTTCTGGAGAAGTGGTCAATGCCGCCAAATTGTCAGTATTTAAGAGGGAGTTGGACAATACCCTTAATAAGTTGCTTTAACTGTTGGTCAGCCCTGAATTGGTTAGGCAGTTGGACTAAATGCTAGTTGTAGGTCCCTTCCAACTGAAATTATTCTATCCTATTCTATTCTATTCTATTCTATTCTATTCTATTCTATTCTATTCTATTCTATTCTATTCTATTCTAGAACT